CACTTAATAGATTTCTGGGTAAGTCCACTCATCAAAATCCTCGTTAGTCTTGGTGGTTAAGAGAGATGAACTGGGATGATTTCTTGGGATTATTGTGAGAGGAAAATAAAGTTAAGTAATGGGTTTCATCACTGAATTCCACTCAATAGATTGTACCCACTGAGAAGAACCTCATGGCATTGCTGCTTGAGTCCTAATATTTTATCACACTTTGGTTTGTACATAGTCCTATTTAGCTGCCATAGAGGTTTGTTTGTACTTGTTTCAATAATCTCCACACAGCACCCACATTTTCTATTTTCTAATTTTCTATTATAACTCTTAGATTCCAAAATGGATTTTTGTTCTTGACATGACAAATCTTTTTTTTTCTTTTGAAAATTTACATCATGACTATTAATAATGTCAAGCATTCTAGACCCTGAAAATTTACCAAGTTGGACTGTTTTATATGAGAACTTACCTGCGGGGATCATATGGGCAAGACAGAGTGGGCATTTTTTTGAACTGCAAATAATCAGGAAAAGAAATAAGGTGGATCTGGGGACTAGTCAGTAAACTCTGTGAAGACAGGGATTATTTTTTGTTCACTCTTTTATTTCCAGTGTTTAGAATAGATCTAGTTCACATGCAGTGCTTAATAAATATCTATTGCATGAATGCTGAATAAGTAATGGACCAATAAAAGAGTGAGGGAAAGTAATTGTTGACTTAGAGGAAATTATGAGAACATGAATAGTAGTCCTGGAAACAGCTAAGGTGGGAGGTGAGAGGGAGGCAAATAAAGTACCCTTGACCTTGTAGAGGCAAGTAAGGACATTCATAGCCACTTCCAGTTGAGAGCTGAGGCAGAGTAAGTAGCAACAACAGTCACAGTGTAGAGGAGTCCCAACTTCTTAGAGGAAAGGCTTTTTAAACTCTTCTCTTGCTAGGAAATAGTGAGAAGAAATAGAAAAAAATAGTTTGGAGTAGGATAAAGTGGTGTTATGCCTGCCCTCCACATTCATCTTAGAGAAACCTGATTCTTGATACAATATGTGACTGATTCGAGTCTTTTCTAATCTTGCCAACTTGTCCTACAATGAGTCTTATGGAAATCTCCATGAGTGTGTGTTTGTGAATGTGGATATAGTTGTGAGCATTTAGGTTACAGTATTGGAGTTAAGGCCATGTATCTCATGTGACCATAGCAAGCAATATTAAGAGAAAATAGTTTGCTCTCTGGAATGGGATACCTTCCTCTCCAACCAATATTGGTGGCTGTGTCTCAGTCACTATTGCAGAGAGAGCCTGTTGAATTATGAGGGATGCTATAGACCAGTAGCAATAATGCTAGTTAAGGAGAAGAGGGTGTCCTGGCACACAAGACAACTTTTTCATTTTGTCCCCCCAACATGGTCATACTTCTGGGCCAAAGCCAAGAAAGAAATGGTGGAGTTCTGTTTTGTTTTGAGAGAGATTTTTGCTATAAGGTGCATGTGCTCTCCAGAGAGAGAGAAAAAAAACCCAGAGAGACACAAAGCAAGAAGTCACCCTCCAAGGGAGATGGCCACACTGCAATCCCTTATTCTCCATTCTCCTCTCAGGATTTTAAACACTTACACACACGCCCAGTGTGAGTTTTAAGCTGCCAGATCCGGGACTTGAACTGTGGTCAACTATGTGGGAGTCCAGAAATGTAACCATTATACCATGTGCTGGTTCCAACGCTGAGTACTTAAAGTGGTCATAGGAGAAAATAAAATGAGGAAAGGCAGTTTGCAATAGATGCTATATTGTCTTAAAGTAATTTATTATTAATATTAAAATGAATTTATATTCAAGCCAATGAATCAGGACCTATTAAATACTCAACGAATTCTCCTATGGAGTCCTCACAGTCTTCAGTTGACCTCCCTATAATTCAACCATCTGCCATTCTGTGTCAGAATCCCATTATTGAGCACAGTTTGGATTTTCTTCCTGCCCTGGAGAACTTCAGTACTGCTTTAAATCACAGATGCAAACAAAGTCAGGGAGAGATAGTTGGAGGTAGGGCCTTGCAGCTATAGTTAAGGGCTCACTTCACAGTCAGTGTTCTCAGAAACTCATCTGCATACTGTATACATTCATTTGTTCTCATCCATTTAATCTGTGCATTGGGAAAAATGGCAATACTCCCATTTCTTTTTAGTGGAGGAGATTGAGGTGTAGAGAGCAGGATGACTTATTTGAGGTTATGCAGGTACCAGATCCGGGACTTGAACTGTGGTCAACTATGTGGGAGTCCAGAAATGTAACCATTATACCATGTGCTGGTTCCAACGCTGAGTACTTAAAGTGGTCATAGGAGAAAATAAAATGAGGAAAGGCAGTTTGCAATAGATGCTATATTGTCTTAAAGTAATTTATTATTAATATTAAAATGAATTTATATTCAAGCCAATGAATCAGGACCTATTAAATACTCAACGAATTCTCCTATGGAGTCCTCACAGTCTTCAGTTGACCTCCCTATAATTCAACCATCTGCCATTCTGTGTCAGAATCCCATTATTGAGCACAGTTTGGATTTTCTTCCTGCCCTGGAGAACTTCAGTACTGCTTTAAATCACAGATGCAAACAAAGTCAGGGAGAGATAGTTGGAGGTAGGGCCTTGCAGCTATAGTTAAGGGCTCACTTCACAGTCAGTGTTCTCAGAAACTCATCTGCATACTGTATACATTCATTTGTTCTCATCCATTTAATCTGTGCATTGGGAAAAATGGCAATACTCCCATTTCTTTTTAGTGGAGGAGATTGAGGTGTAGAGAGCAGGATGACTTATTTGAGGTTATGCAGGTAAATATTTCTTAGCCAGAATTTGAGCCCCGGTCTCCTGACTATACTCTGTGTTGTTTCTGCTACCAGCTTCTTCTCAGGATCAGAATCAGCCCGCGTCAAAACCATGAAGTTGACTGATTGTCTTCGGGTTTTCACACTGCCTGTACATTTTGCCTTCTTCTAGGGTTAGGGATCCAAGATATACCTCTTTTAAGTCACTCGGCTCTCACTTGTGATGAAACAGAAAGATGACATGACTTTAGAATCAGTTCTGACACAAGGAGGGCTGGCTTCATAGGCTTGTGATTAGTATAGTCATCCAAGATCCCATACTCAGAGGGTCATGAAATTTCTAATAATCTATTGAATAACAGGCTCTGTATTTTCATTTTGCACTGGGCCCTGCAAATTAAGTGACTAGTCCTGCATACAAGTTTATGCTTTTGGTTATGTTTCTTAACTTCTCTGAACCTCAGTTTTTCTAACTGGTAAATAGAAAAATAATGCAGTTATACATATCTCAGAATGTTCTTGGACAGAATAAGTGAGTTACAGTAGCAAGCTAGCTAACAAGCTTTTGTACATGCATGATCCTCAATTAATCTTAACTGTTAAACATTTAATCCAGGAGGAAGAACTCATTCACATCTTATTAGGTCAGCACTGAAGTATTGATCATACATAGGCAGACCTTAAGTTTTGTGCTAGAGTTATGGTTATGTAGAGTTTTCTGTGGTAAGAGCAGGTTAAATAATAAGAAAAAGATCTCTCATTTTAAGCAATAGTTATTAATTTGAACAAATGTGTAGACTGGGTGAGCTGGGCAATGAGGAAAACAAGTGCTATGGCAGATGCACTGGGTAAGAAATGAGTCAATTTCCTTTATCTCCTGCCCAATACCAGAGGCACTGATACATCCAAGAGCAGCATTGAGCATGATCTGTTATACTTGCTGGTCAAAGGTAAGGGGAGCAATAAGAAAAAAAAATTACGAAAGAAAAGTAAAGAATGTACAAACCAGGGTTTATAGACACTTGAACAAAATTATCTCTAGCACTGATCTAGCTGTTTCAAATATATTACTTCACTTAAAAATTTCCTATAAACCCCATGAGTAGGTGATGTTAGTTGGATTTTAGAGATGAAGAAATTAAGCTCATAGAATATTTATAATGTTAGAGAACCCCATATAATTGATAGTGTTTAAAATCCATGCTACTTGAGAAGGACAGAGCTAGATGACATAATTAAGGTTATCTGTTTGGGATGGCAACTGGAACTGTAACTTTTTGGTAGGACTGTTTTGAGATGGAGTCTTAGACTATGTCTATACTTGGTGGTAGAGAGTATCTTAGTCATTAACAATGCCTTCCTTGGGCCCTGAGAAGTGGTAATGGCATGTAAGGAAGACAATTGCCTTCTTGATCTAGTCTCTTCATTTTATAGACTACATAACAATTAAGAAGGTAATGTAGGGGGTCAGCAGGTGACATGGTAGTTAAGGTGCTGGACTCCTACATGGTCAACCACAATTCAAGTCCTAGATTTGGTGGCTAGCTTTCTCTCTCTCTCTGTCTCTCTACTTTCTCTGGTCAAATTGAAAAATAATGATAATAAACAAAATTAAATAATAAAAAAGAAGTTAATGTAGTGACATAAGGTGAACTATTGCCAATGCCTATTTTTCATCTTAAAGTTGATGTGCTTAGAGAAAAATAACTTTCCTGTGTAAAAATCCACCCAACCAATAAAAAGTAACATAAAACAAAAAGGAATAAATTCATTCAAATTTCAGGCATTAACAAGAAAAGTGTTAGGATTAGAGTTTTCTTAAGATCTATAAAATCATAACATAGAGAGCTTTTCAAAATTTAGCATGCATCAGTATCTCTTGGAAGCCTTTTAAAACACTGGTTACTGAGCCCCATCCACAAAATTTCTGATTTAGTAGGTCTGGGATAAGACCTGAGGGTTTGCAAATTCCCAGATGAGGTTGATACTGCTGGTCTGAGACCATCCTTTTGAGGGTTGCCTATTAGTAACTTCTCCTTGACCATTGATCTGACTCTTCTTAAAATGAAATGAATTATTCAAACATACTTTCTTTTTGTATATAAATCTGGGAGACTCAGTTTGCCATCCTCATGGGATTTGTTAATAAGAAGTTTTGAAAATTATATTAAAAATTGTTTAATTAGTGCTTGCTTTGGCAGCACATATACTAAAGTTGGAACAAAACAGAGAAGATTAGCATGGCCCTTGAGCAATATGACATGCAAATTCATGAAGTGCTCCCTTATTTTTGGAACTCTTGTGCACTGTTGGTGGAAATGTAAAACAGTACAGCTGCTATATCAGAATATTATGGAGGTTCCTTAAAAAATTTGAAATAGTCACCATATGAGCTAGCAACCCCACTTTTGTGTATTTATTAAAAATTATTTAAAATAGGATCTTGAAGAGAGATTTGAATGTCACATTCATTGCAGCATTATTCACAATTGCCAAGAGGTGACAACAACATGTTTATTGATAGTTGAACAGTTAAGGAAATGTGGTGCATACATGTAATGGAATATCATTCAACTTCAAAGAACAAGATAATCTCATCACATGCTATAATGGCACGGATAAACCTTGAGGTGTTTATGGGAAGAGAAATAAACCAGTCACAAAAAGACAAATATTGTATGATTCCATTCATATGAGGTATCATAAGTAGTCAAATTCATGGAAATAGAAAGCAGAATGGTGGTTTCCAAGGTCTGGGGGAGGGAGTAATTAATTTTGCAGGATGAAAAGGCTCTAGGCATTTAATGCAGAGCAATGTGAATAGGCTGAACACTATCAATCTGTACCCTTAAAAATAATGAGGAAGGTAAATTTTATGTTAGATTTATTTTGCCACAATTCAAGAAAATTTATTTGTTTAAAGATAATACTTTCAGACCAACCAGTGGCATGGTGATTAAAGTGGCTAGATCCCATATAGCTGACTGTATGGTTCAAGACACAGGCGTGGCAGGTAGAAACACACACACACACACACACACACACACACGCACACCACACACACACACACACACACACACACACACACACACACATACTCTCTCTCTCTCTAGCAAGCACATATGCCTTGTAGCAAATTAAACCAAACAAAACAGGCAATATTTTCTCTGGAGGGCACAGCAATCCTTAGTTGTAGAGCTGTCTAGAGAAGCAGAGAGGGACTCTCCTTGAGATATTCTAGTAGGAACAGGGTATGTTGGCTCTGTGTTAGCAAGTCCCACCTTCTCTGTGGCCTAGTCTCTCTCAGGTGATTCTTCAAGGCATTGGTGCTGGTCCATCTCACACACTGGAATTTAGTCTTTGATGTGACCTATATGGTAAATAGTTTTCAAAGCTTCCCATATGGTTTGAGTTGTAAGCAGGTCTGTAAATCATTGTTTGGATCTGTGATTTGTAAACTGTGTAAGGTTAAAAGGATCTTTTTGGGGGTCCTGTCAAACTATATATGCTCAAGACTCCTCTATGCCATTCCTCGTTGTCCAAGGCAATTCTAATCACCTCCTGGTGACCCACTAATTTGAGAAATACAGCATTAGATGATTTCTAATGATGTCTTAATATCAAGTCCATCAGGAATCTCAGTTTCAGGAGATTGAGCTCATCATCAACTGGGTTTGCTCCTAAGCAAGGTCTCTATTGAGATTGGTCAGACAGTCTTAGTTTAGGTTGTTTGTGTACACATAACCCACTTATCATTTTTAAATTCTTAGAGTCAGTCAAACCTCACAGTTAAACCATAGCCTTTGGGTTTGAAATAAAATAATTGAACAAGAACCCAAAATTCCATTATTTTGCTTATACACTAATTTTAACAGGCTATATATAATTCATATGATAACCTAAAGAACAAAGGGACACATTTCATTAGGAATAAACATTTGTGTGGAGGGATTAGGCCCTGCCAGGGGTGATTTTCTGTCATCCCCAAAATCAGTGGCTTGGAGAATACACAGAAATCCTGAGGAATCTTAATCATAGTATCAGAGTATTTTCAATTTAAAAGAATACCAAGTGCAAACAACTCCCACATATTTAGTGATTGAAAGCCAGTTTAGCTACCCGTGAGATCAGAAATTTGGCAGCACAGGAAATAGGGGACTTGCCAACTTAATACTGTTTAATATTAATTAAACTTAATATAACTCAGTTATCTATTTTTTAAGATATTCTAAGACAGAATACTGGAAAAGGAAAAAATAAATCTATATTCATATTACATATATATTTAAATGATATAATCATGAATGTATTTATAATTATATACTCATATCACACAATATAGTGTTTAATACATTCTATATTTCTAAATATTTCTAGAATAACTGAAAAAGAGAAATGTATATACCAAATCAATAATTTTCATGAAATGAGTTACCTGCAAAATTCACATGAGAACAGGTGTTGTTTATACAGACACAGATTTTCAGTACACTGTACAGGAGGCTAAAATAGTGCTACATGCCTTTGCACTGCAGAGAAGAAAAAAAATAGTCCTATGTGCACAATAACATTCAGAAGTGAGAGTAACTGACGTTTCCCAGAATTTTGTGAGGAAATGTCATGGAGGAGGTGAACTACTCAGCTGCCTTTTAGTACACATCTAAGAATGTATTGGGGAAGCACAGCTATTGAGGTGGTGCTACCTTGGAAAAATGTCCAGTAAAACTGGACAAAGAGAGAATGGCAGAGAGAGAGAGAGACAGACAAAGAGAGAATAGTAATTGTGATGGTTAACTTTAGGTGTCAACTTGACTAGACTGATGGATGCCTGAAAGGCTCATGAAACATTGTTTCAAAGTGTGTCTGTGAGAATATTGCCAGACAAGATTAGAGTGTAAACTAGTAGTTTGAGAAGAAGACCTGCCTTCAATGTAGGCAGGCACTGTCTGATCCGTGGGAGCATGGAAGAGACAGCATGGAGTTCTGTCTCCTTTTCTTTTCCTCTTTTTCAACTTTCCTCCTAGAGCTTTCTGTGTGTTTTATTTCTTCACATCTGCCTCTTACCCCACTCCTCCATGGAACCCCTATCTGCCATGAGATTACTCGAGATACTCCAGTAAAATCAACTCCAACTTATTCAACCTTTGGACTCTGGACTCACACAAAATAGTCCTGTGAGGATGCTGAGGATGCTCAGGACTGAGGCCTTCCAAGAACCCCCTTCATGCCTTTACTGGAACTGCACCAGCTTTTGTCCTTGAGAGTCTGCTGAAGGCTCCCTTCAGACCTCAGAGTGAAACCACATTAGCTCCCTACTTCAGAGCCTTTCAGCTGTTCCACAGTTTGCAGACAGTCTAATGTGGGACTTCATTTTCTGATCATGTGAGACAATTCCGATGTTTCTTCTTGAACATAAGTATTTATTCTGTTTTTTCTGTTTTTCATCATTCTGATGGTGACCGATATAGGAATCTAAGTGAATATTAAGCACATCAAAATTTTCATGGATTTCCCTTTAGAAAAGTGCTAACATCTTACACATACAAGAGAAAACTATAGTCCTTTTCTTATCTGATACAAGCATGTAAATTTTACAACAAGGCAAGAAACATTGATTTCTATAAGCTATTGAATTTCTATCACAGTTAGTTTTCTAATATTTAGATGATTAAGCATTATTGAAATGTACAGGAAATTAAATGAGAGTTTCTGGCATTAACCAGACACTGATGTTGGTTATCCAAATGGGAGAGAGTAGAAGTCAAACCTAGAGGATCAGAGAACCTTTATCCAGGGTCCTGATCATGTGCGGAAACTTATCCCACTTCAAGGTTTCTTAGATATAAAATAGAGGTTAATATGTACTTCACAAAGTAGGATTATCAGTACATTTAGAGGAGAGTTTTGATAATATGCAGACATAAAAATTTAACCCATGATTTGTATAGAGAGACTAAGTCATAAGAAAAGGCATGTATAAAAATTACCTAGCTGAGATGGTTGCTTCCAATCATTATAGAGTAACAGGGAATATATTAACCCTCTGCAGCAACAGCTAAACGATAGGACATATGACACATGGTTTTTAGGACATTGGACTTCAGACAACAAAAGACAATAATCTCTGAGCGATAGAAAGCAAATGAGATTAGCCTTTACGATTAACTCCTATTACTGCCTTGAGGGAGGTGCTAGCAGGAGGGACACAGATTGAACCTGGTGGTTTTCTGGAACTGGGGAAATGGGTTTAATAATCTAAGAAAAGCAAAGTAGCTAAAATTTACAGTATAAAGTACTGGAGAAGATAGAGCACTACCAGAGAGAAACCTAAAAAACTACAAATATTTTCTGGTCTTGTCTGCAGCTGAGTACTGACTGGTGCATGCATGTGAAAAAACTGCATGAGGACTGGGAAAAATGTAACATCAACTCTTGATAAAAAGTGTCAGCAAACTGAAAAAAAAAGGGAGCTCACTCAACCTGATAAAGGGCAACTCTGAAAAATAGCTAACATTATACATAATTATGAAAACAGAATTATTCTATTAATATTTTTCTTCAAGATCAAAACCAAGACAAAGATATTTACTCTGAGCATTTCTATTTAATATTGTACTAGAGTTCCTAGCTGGTACAATCAGGCAAGAAAAAGAAAAAAAATGCATCCAGATCAAAAAAAATAAAATAACCTGTTTTGAGTGCAAGTAGCCTCTTTTTTCTGTAGAAAATCTGGTGAAATGTACAAAAACTTATTAAAACTAATAATTGAGATTAGCAAATTTGCAGAATACAAGTTTAACAGACAAAACAATTGTATTTAAGTATATTAGCAGTGAGTATTTGAGAATTGAAGTGAGTCATTTATAGTAGCATAAAAATATGAAATACTTAGGAATAGATCTAATAAAATAAGAAAGACCTGTTCATTGAAAACTGCAAAAGTTTGCTGATAGAAATTAAAGAACGCCTAAGTAAACAGAGAGATTTAGCTTACTTATAGAAGAGTCGATATTGTTGAAATGTCAATTATCTCCAAATTGAACAAAACAGTCATCATAATTTCAATCAAAATTCAAGCAGGCTATTTTTTTTTTTTTTGGCAGTAACAAAAATCTAATTCAAAATTCTTATGGAAATGCCAAGTATCTAGAATAGTCAGGACAACTTTGGAAATGAAGAATCAAGTCAAAAAATGAATGCTACCTGATAGACAGACTAGATTTGACCATCTCAAAATTATTTACTTAGTTTAATTTGACAGAGAGGGAAAGAACAAGAGAAAGTGAGAAAG